TCATTATGCAGAACATTATTTTTRAAGTATGGAATCATTATTTTGTTACATAACTTCCAAATTTGGAYCTTTGCAAAGATTTATAACAATCTGTAATTATAGGAGAACTTTCCACAAAGARAATTAATTAGATCAAAGAAGCATTTAAATGTAAATCATTAATCCGTGCATTACAGGAAATAGTTAGTAGCTATGTATAGTTCATTTAATTATACTTGGTTCAATTTTGTTTTCTCATTACATCACAATTTATTCRGAATTAATTTGCAATTTCTTGTCTGATGTGACTTCTGTTTGCTTAATATAGCAGATATTTTCACTAGCATGTATTTATATATAAATAAAGGTTTATTAATGACTGCAGTGTTAATTAAACTGTGGGCTCTGCTGTCAATTAGCTGTAAATTTCGTTGCTCTGTGGATGCAACCCAGAATATCTGTGCTCTGAAAATGAGAGGCAGAGTGATGAGTAAGTTTTTGAATGTAAGAATATATACAGGAGATTGGGACTGTCACCTGCTGCAGAGGCCCAGGTGACACAGTGGACAACATGGTTTTGGCTCCCTTATGGAGAAAAGAAAATTATGTGATTCCAGTCTATAGAAAGTATTTGGTAATAGAAGTGGGAATCTCCCAATCTGCAGTGTGTTTGTATCTGGTGGAAGGAAGGTCTAGGTGTGGTGTAAGGTTTTAGGATGTAGGGTTTTTGCACAAGTGGTTTGCAGGTTTTGACATCCTTATGCAATGTCTTTGTGTAGTGTGTGGGTAGGAAAATATTTATTTTCTGTGATTTGATCTAATAAAAACTAGGATTATATTACTTATTATTATTATTATTATTATTATTATTATTATTATTATTATTATTATTATTGTTGTTGTTATATGCCTTGTTGTTTTTTGAAGTTGTTTTTTAATACTGTGGGAGTATATTCATATTATATTCCCTTACCTGTTCATCAGCAGCACTGAACCACTGATATTTTAAAATTTTACACGGCTGAAAGTGCAKACATGTTTAACTGAAGTTTTTAGTAGTAGATTAAAATAAGCTTGTCTTAATAAAAATAAATTAAAATAATTAAAATAAGCTTGTTGTTGTTTCCCCTCTCCCCTGGCCCCTCCATTTAATCAAAAGGCTTGATTTTCATTCTCATTTTCATTCCAATGTAGCCAAATGCCCTTTTGCCTCAGACTATCCAGTATTAGCAGCATCTGTGTTAAGTTTGGACTCAGCTAATCTTTTGGAATCTTTGAATACTGGGTTTTAAGCCAATGCTCAGCTATCCAACAGCACATCTGGCTTGCATAGTATTGCCTCATTTGTGTGAGGTAGTGCTCCCAGATTCTCTTCATTGTTTTTTTTTTTTCTGTTTGCTGGAAAGGGGACTTTGATAGAGAGGCTGTGCTGGCAACAGAAAAAGTTTAAGGAACTTGAGTGAATTCTTTCTTCCTGTACTGAAGTTCTCATTAGAAGTCGTGGTGTTGGTACATAGCCACTTATAGTAAATAAACTAATCAAATAAGAATTTCTCAGCCAGCTACATGTTTGATAAATGTTTAGGCACTACTAGCAATTCTGTCAGGTTTGCTGCATACAAACAAAGCTAGAGTAATATTTATGTTGGTGGATTTCTTAAGATTACTGTTATTTCTTTCAATAAGTGAAATTACCTCTTCCTAGGAGGATTGTTGTGCTACTTATAACAAATGAAATGCTGTCAGGGTTCATGTGGATAAGCAGTTGTTTGCTGAGGAAGGCGAAACAACTTATTGGTTTKCACTGAGAGAGGAATGTTGTTTTCCGCCTTGTAATTTAGGTATTTTCAAACCTCACTAGATGGAATGAGATAAATCTTAGCAGTACTGTCATCTGAGGGGTTTGTAAGAAATTGGATTCACAATGTGTTTGCTTTGCTTTTATTTACACCTCTAAGATAACAGTGTGAAAACAATAGTATTTTATTCTCAGTATTTATTATTAAAAATGTTGTGTGCATGGGGGAAATAAAGACATTTGGAAATGGGTAACCTTGGGTTAATTAAATCCATGTGCTGTCTGACTAATGATAGCAACAATATATCCAGGGAATCTCTTACACTGAAAGATTTGATAAAACACACAAAAGTTTTCTAATAAAGCACTCTTAAAGCCAGCAAGAACTCAGGAACTGGAGGGAAAACCAGTCGTAAAAAGTAACTCAATATTGTAAGGCTATGCTTCATGCAGGAATGTCCCAGAAGAGTATAAGAACCACATTTGTTGTTCCCTCAGATTCAAAATTATAACTGGCAGGAAAAGTAAAACTTGTTTACATCTCGTGCTACATGAAGTTGTGGTTTCTAGGGCTAATTTAAATGGCTGTTTTCATGCTTGCAAACAGCCAGGATACAAATGTTCATTAGGAAAGAGGCTGCAAAAAATGAGCTTTCAGAGGCATGGTGATGCAGCTGAGGGGAGACAGACTTTTGATTTGTATTAAGTGACAATCTGATCCTATAGAGAATAACACCTCCTTCTAAACAGCAAGTATGRTAGTTAATTTTTATTTACATGGTTYTACRTAATATCAAGAGSGGGGAAAGARTACTACAACTTGCAYGCATTAGTCTTTSTGTTGGTAATAGGTGCTCTTTGGTATTGTTTGAGCAATGATTTTTGTAGCTATAAGTTAGGTTTTTGTAACTTCCTAATTCATAGTTTCTGGAAATGAAAACTGGTGCATAGTTTGAGTTTATTGAAATAGTTATCTGATTAATTTACATTTCATGTGTTCATATGCTTATACAAAATGTGGGGGAKGGGGAGAAGAAACTTGAGACATTCGTGGAATCCTGTGTGCTTTCAAAGCAAGGCAAACATAATAAGTGTCAGATGAAGAATAGTTTATTCCACGTTGGTTTGACAGATGGGCAAACCAAAACTCTGAGAGATTAGCATTGTTCTGCAATTTAATGTTTAAAGCATACAAAAAAGAATGGCTTAAGAGAATTGAACATGGAGGGTGGGTTTGTGTGATCTACATTGGAGGAACTTGTTTAGGCTTCCTTCGTAGCGAGTTGAATTTGCTCTAGTATGTGATTTATCTCAGCTTAAAGCAGGAATTTAAAATAGGTCAGATGAGTTGCTCTCTGAAACGTCTGTTTTTCTGTTCCTCATTTAAAGTGACCATCTCAGATATRGACAGCTGAAGTTTGATTAAATAAATGCTTTTCTGACTGCCATGTTTTAAGACTCGAAGACTATTGCTTTTTATGGATGCTAAAAACAATTTGTTAAATAACACATTTCAAAAGGTATTTTTTAATGCAGCTGTGCCAGTTTGAGTGTAGATATTTATGATGTGTTTCTAAACAAGTGTGACACATGTTAGTACCTTGAAAATGTGGCCTGAAGCATATATCTGCCATGCTTGCTTTCTGGTTCTGCTTCTCTCTTGTGCTGTTTTGGCTTTCATGAGGTGGGAAAATGCACCTCCATCCTCACACGCAGTGCAGGAGCTGAGTGCAGGCTCAATCCTGTGACTTGCTTTGCCATACAGAGACATATGCACTTTAGCATTGAAAGTGCAGAATACACAAGTGAGTTTGAAAATAGTAATCGGCCTCATTTAAAACATTTTCTGTCAAGTAATTTAGCTTATCAAACATTTAAGTAAAAAAGAAAAAGGTTTGTACTTTTCTTAAGGTCTATAATAAACTTGCTTCTTCTAGTAAACATTGTAGCGTATGCCAGGAGTTCATMGTGACTTCCTAGCAGATGAATTAGCAGATGTATGTTTCGTGGAATCACCTATAATTACACAGKAGCCATGGTTACCAGGTTAAAGAAATCGTGTCCCGATGACTAACAGAAATAGAGTGCAGCAGACTGGCTTGTCTTCAAGTTGCTTRGTAGCAAAATATTCAAGAATAAGTTTGTGAGGTCTGAGAACATATGAGTAACAGACATAAAAGTACACTCCCTTTTCTGAACTGACAGTGAGTCTGCTTTTTCAAGTCCTTGTTTTGATGCGAAATCACAGTATATTTTTTAAAGTTGGGGTTTGCTTGTATTTGGTTTGAGAATTGGATACCAACCACATATTTGCAACAAAACTGTTGCAAATAGTCAAGTAGTAGTAATAGTGGAGTAGTTAAAATTTTTTATTATTGCTAATATTTTCATGTCATTTTAGTACTGGACAAAGTTAACTACAGACAGAATTTTCATGTTCAAGGAATTTTCACGTTCACTTCATTTTAAATCTAATATTTAGAATGACTTAATGGAAGTCTTTATGTTTCTTTTGGATGCTCTAGCACTTAGAAAGGGTCGATGAAAGTGTATATGAATTCAAGTGGGAAGGACAGAGCTGGGTTTAAGGGTGATTGTATGTTTGCACTGTTGTTCGTGGGCCCGTTTCAGATGTTTCTAGTGMGTATAAAATCATAGAGTCATTTAGGATKGAAAAGACCTCTAAGATAATCTAGTTCAACCATTAATATTTTGCTTGGAAGCATCAAAAATACTTGAATACATTTCCAAAAGGGAGTGCAGGTGTTGAGGAGCTGAAGCCCTGTTGACTTCAGTGTAAAGAAGAAAAGATTTAATGTWTCAAGTTTCCACATGGTTTAGAAAMCCAAACGCCACTGGGATTTGTTAGATTTAAGGGCCAGTGTTTTACCGTTTCTGAATTATGAGCTATGTATTCTCTTACTTGAACATAAATCTGTAATGTTTACGTATTATGATTTAGATTAAGGTTTTTTGGCAACGTGTTTTTTTCCATCAAGTATGGATACATTTAGACCTGGTCTTTTGCACCAGGGAAGCTTTCCTGGGGATCCTGGTTGGGCCAGTGAGATAGGCACTTGAGTTTTAAAGGCTGAGGCTATCAAGACTAAAACTTTCTGATCTTTCTTCATTTTGTATGCGTAGCGTACAAATTCACAGCTACGAGATTGTGCTCAGTAGGTCTGCTCACCCTGTTTTGCAGAATAACCAACCATGACTACAGAATCGGGATCAGACTCCGAGTCCAAGGATAAAGAGCAGGATCAGGAGGAGAGCCCTGCGCAGGAAGGGGCGGCAGAGACCCAGCCACAGGAGCAGCAGCAGCCGCAGCAGCCACCGCAGCCGCAGCAGGAGCCGAGTGAAGAGCATCAAACAGCGCTCGAGCAGTTCTCGGCTGTGGCAGCGCACAGCACGCCCGTGAGAAAGGAGCAGGTAAGGGAGCCGGGCACACACACCCACTGAACACAGCTGGCTGGGTCCCCATCTACTGCTCCTGGGAAATAACGAGCCTGGCACACAGGAGTGCAAATGCGTGCTCAGATACGCATGGAAGGGTGTCTGATGGGTTGCTGTAGGTCCGGGCTGGTTGGTCTTTCGCGTTTATTCTCATGCAGAATGTGATTAAATTCGTGGCAGGTGTTTCTGCCCCCAGTGCTTAAATAGGAGGGCAGTCTCATCAGCTAAGCAGGAGACATCTTTGACCTTGCGTTTCCATTAGATAGCAAACAGTGTCAGTTTTTATGAAGCTGAAAATGTTTTCAGAGTTCATTTCGTTTGACACCTGCTGAACACTGATTTCATGCTCGCTTGTCTGATGTGTGAGCCATGAAGAATCTGTGGTCCCTTAAGTTTCTCGTGGTTCTGAAATGACTGCATTATAATTACTGGAGCTATTCATGTAATAGGTTTCCGAAGAGCTATTGCATGCTTTTCCATTTAGTTCATTGTCGCACTTATTAAATTTGCGGAAGCTGCTTTCTTCTTTCCGTTAATAATTTCCAGTCAATAGGATTAACAGGCATTCTTCTTCATGGATAAGTGACACACAATTAATGAGGTACCTGCAAATCACTTCCCTTAGCTCCATAAGGTTATGACCCTCATCTGATCACATTTACCTTTAGAGAGTGGAATAAGCCAGTCTAGCTCCCCCTCTCCTCCATTCTTTAAAAAATTCTGGCTGTTTGAAGTGGGCTCCTGTTTTTTTACCTGGTTGGGCTAGACAGTGCTGGTGAAGCAATTTTATCTCTCAAATAGATCAGAAGTTTCCTGTAATTAGTTTGGAGAAAAGAAGAAAGGCTGCTTTTCCAAAAAAGAAAGGCGTTAAATAAACTGGTCATTAATTAAAAGTGTAATTCTAGCGGGTTTAGGCGTAAGTATTATTATTTATATTGATGTTTTTCCAGACATCTTCAGTAATATTTCAAGCTTCTTTTCACTTTAAAAAAGTCAAACAAACAAATAGCAACAACAACAAAATCCCAGAAAAAAAAAAAAAAACCCAAAACCACACAAACCCCCCTCCAAAAAAAAAAACCCCACAAAAAAACCCCAAGTCACAAAATAACCACACACACAAAGCCCCCCCCTCCCCCCAATTTAGATACCAAACTCGTCCCTGTGTGTTTAGAGGTGTGAAATGCTCTCATGTGCTGCATGATTCCCTTCTTTCCCAAAGATCACCGGTGAGCTKGTTTCTGTAGAAGGCACGATAGAAGAACTGGGTTAGTGAAAGGGATAAGTGACACCTTCCTGCTGAGATTATCAGACTGAATCCAAACGTGCTGTAAGCAGGCTGCCAAATCCAGCTGCACTGATAGGCCCAGTGTATTTTGTAGTGGCTGAAGTGTCTGTATCTCTGGAAAGGAACACTTAAATGCAGCCCTAATAGACAAAGCTCTTTGCAATCRTGTCGTTAAAAAGCCAAAAATTGCAGGAGCTCAGTCTCTCTTTTTTTTTGTCTGTAATTGCAATGACGAAGTTGAATACTGTTCTTCCTCATATGAGAAAACCTTGGGAAGGAAGATTTAAGTTACCGATTCATGACAGTGACTTACCTTTGTCATCCTATACACATAAAAGCCCCCAACAGTTTAATGCAGGCTAAGAACCTTTTCATATTGCGATTAACAGGTATTAGAGAAATGTGTTCTTCCTATCAGGTGTAATAATGCAACTTGCTTTCTGCCTGCCTTCTTTCTCTTTGAAGAAAAGAAAAAGCCATCGCATGAGATTGGGCACCCATATTTCTGAGCAGCTACCATAAGTAGGTGGGATTAATGTTTTGTGCAAGTTGTTGCAATATCACTTTATACCCCAGTGAGAAGCTGCCAAGCATCCAAGATTATTGCTGCTGAATCCCATGACTTCAGAGGCATCCTTTGAGAGGGGGTCCAGCTTTAGAAGTGCTTGAACATACTGTGTCACACATGTGGGACAGAGGGATTATGCTAAAAGAAATGCAAACCCTAAAGCAACTTCTTCTGTGTTAGAATTTAGTCCACAGCGGTTCAAAAACACTGCAAAATCAGAGCATGGAAGCTGCAAAAATACAGTGCAGAAGTATCTTGGAGAAGAATTTAGGAGAAAATTAAGCTATGCTTGCAGAGTAGACAATAATTCACTATGTACATGGCTCTTTCACTTGCCATTTTTTTTTCCTAGATTTCAGGATGTCAGATTTCTTTAGGAAGGAGAGATTTAATACAGTCTGAAAGTACCTCAATGCCTGAACATGTCAGCATAGTTTGGGGAAATCTTCTCTAATAGTTCTTGGCATGTTTTGTTCTGCAGACAAATGAGAGGAAAACCTTTTGTATGATTTTAACCTAGACACAGTCCCCTGATCTTAATGTAGATGGGAACCTTAACCAAAAAAAAATTTAAAAAAAAAACCAACCCAATCTCAGTAATATTTCTTAGTATTTATAAATATGCAAAACTGCTGTCGTCTTGGGATATTGAGTTTCTTTATGAAAAAAAAATTATGACTAGTCCACTGGGATTCACAGGAATTGCTTGCAGGCTGCATATGGTTCTTGGGTTTAAATGGATGATGGTTGTCCTTCTTGAGGATTTTTTTCACAAGCAGCTTTTCGGTTTTCTTGAAAGAGATTAGTTCCATGCTGGGGTATTTTGTTGGTTGCTTTTTGTTGGAGCAGAGTGCTTACTCCCATGAGAAATGTCATGAGCCACTGGGTAAGACGGTGCATTTTTCCCCATTGTTGAAACGGCTTTTTTTACCCACCTATGTGCACATGAACCTTTCCTGGCAGATTTCTTTTGACAAAGCAGACAGAAATCCTCAGAGCCCCTGTGCCCACCAGCAGCAGTGCAGTTCTGCACAGAGGCCCGAGGAGGAGGCATCTTCAGTGTTGTTTATTTCTCGTTGCAGAAGGCTGCACCATTTGCCAGCTGGCTGTGGCTGTGGTAGAGGGGTAGCTGGCCTCCAGCCTTGCTGTGACTCCAGGGACACTCTCCCTCTTCATCACAGCTGCTGGGAGTGTTAAATGCTCAGCAAACAGCTGATCCACTTCTGTACCCTGGGCCTTCATCTCCCGCCAGTTTTCAAAATATGCAAGGATCTTGATGTCCTGGCACGGAGCTGGTGTCCAAGTGCTGGAAGGAGAAATTCCTTCATTGCATGGGGGGAAGAGATGGGTGGTGCTGGGCTGCTCCTGAGTCCAGGCATGGCTCAGGGGACATAATAGATTTTGAAAGCAGCTCTTTTTTTTTTTCTGTCTTTCAAGTGATGATTTCTTCCAATCTCCCCATCCAGGGMAGCCCAGGAGACGATTGCTGTGTCCTCTCTGGCAGGGAAAGGACTGTGGGGTCTTTCCTCACCCCTTTTTGTTTGCTGGGGCTCTGTCAGGAGCCAGTGCTGTTGTTATTACAGCCATGTCCCGAGTTCTCCTTCCCCCCATGCACTGAAGGCAGAGGGGAGACCTAGGGCTTGTTTTAATGAAATCACTCAGGGACAGTACCCTGTGATTTAGAAGTACACTGTTGTTTCAGGTTATGTGATGCAACGTTGTTCTGGTCTCAAAGAAGCTTAAAGCCTTTGGATGGATTTGCTTCATTCTCATGAAGGTTTATTATATATAATGAATGGAAACAGACTTGGAGGATTAATTTACAATATATTTCCACTAATGCTTGTTGCTTATTACACTGAAATAATTCAGAGGCAGAGCAGGTTGGGTTTTTTTTTTGCATTGTAGTGAGATAACGGAAGGATGTTTTTATTTTGTTTAAGCTTTAGCTAAGGTATTACTGCACTCCTGTAGAGGTTTTGTTTGGACTCTATCAGGGATATAACTGATGAGAAGGATAATGACTGCAGCACAGTGCGGTTTCTAGGAGGGGTGAAACACTGTGGAGCTGTTCTGGCTCTCATCTAGTGCTGTGGAGAGGGCTGTGGGCCGTGCTGTATCASAGTAACTTCAAATGACCCGACCCTCTGATAAACCTGAGCAAAAGCAATCATGGTCATCACTTCTTGCCCCTCTCCTCTGTGTGTATTTGTCTTTSAAATGGCACCTACATCTCTTCAGCMTGAGCAAAATTCATCCTTTCATCYTGTACTTTCTGTCCATTTAGCCAGCCAGCTGCACTTTAAAGTTGTTTGGCCTCTCACTTCTATCCTGTTTCCTTAACCCTTTGCTTGGATGCTTGGGGAGCCTTTCACTCTCCCAGGCCCGTCAGCATTCCCTTACAAATTCACACTTCAGGGGGAATCCATGCCCTCATTCAGGGACTGTTTTCTCACTGACAGCAAAACTGGTGCAAACCTGGTGGCATTTTTCTATTCTGTRTGACACCATGGGAACATTGCATGATTGACTTCAAAGTAACATCAAGAAGCTGTAGGACAGCTTAGTCAACAACATTACTAATTATTCAGTATTTCCAAAACACTAAAAAAAAWTAAGTCCAGGAAGTCCAAGTAGGATTTTGTATGCATGGAAAAAGTAGACGCCTTAAAATATTTTCATTAATGTCCTTCTTTCATGGGTATTCTGTACATTTTGGAGAGAGAAGGGAGGGCTGGGAGGAATATGGRAAATCTTTCAAGTAAAGACTGTGTCCTACAGCAGGGGCTTTCTTGTCCAAATCCCACAAAAGGCTCACTTAAATGCTTGGGTGCAGCATGCACAGTGAACCGCAGGGCGTTATTGGTTTATCTCATTTCAAAAAGTATCTTCCTTCCCCTTTATAGGCCACAGARAAAGAACAGGAGTTTGCTGCTGCGAGTGCAAAACAACAGGAATATCAGCAGCTAGAGGACGACAAGCTCTCTCAAAAATCTTCATCTAGCAAACTTTCCAAGTCTCCTCTAAAGATCGTCAAAAAACCGAAAAATATGCAATGCAAAGTGACGCTCCTGGATGGATCAGAGTAYGCGTGCGAAGTAGAGGTAAATGGCTTCTTGTCATCTTTTTTATTCATCCTGTCAGCAGGTAAATGGTGGAAATTATATTTCTAATTTAAGAAAAAGGATGAATGGCCTGATATTTCACCAGTGCCAAGCACAGAGATATTTTCATTGTTTTCTCTGGAGGTTTTCTGTGGTGCACAGATTTGAGCTAGGTGAGGGATTCTGAGCACTCCCCAAAACAGCCAGAGACTCTCGATTAATTTGCTGTTGGCACATGCCACAGCAGAATGCAGAAAACAAAGKATGGCCAACAAAGCCCATAAACAAAGAAKGRTTTTGATCCCACTGGGMTTTTCTTTTCCTTGGTRCTTTACTGAGTTGMGGCTTCCATTGAGTCATTGTCCATRCRGTAATTCTGACTATTGTGATATTAGTGCAGGCATGAGAGACGCCCTGGGTAAGTGGGGGAAATGTCAGGTGCAAATARCAGTGAGAATGGAGAGTTTTGTGTGCTTTTCCATGATGTCTGTGGATCATAACTGTGTCTGAGTGTTACTAGCAGAGAGATGCTGGGATTTTTCTGTAAGGAAGCTTGCCTTCCCTGCTGAAATTCCAACAGGAGCCTACTTTTGGGAGGGATGGTCTTTGCTCTGCTCTCATTTAAAAGCCAGTCTGTGCCTGTGGGCAGCCCATGCTGACAGAATGCCTTCAGCTCCAGAAGGTCCCAGAAAAGTGAAAATGAGCACATCTAGCATCTCAAAGTAAGTGCAAGAAAATTCAGCATCTCAGGGTGGACCCTTTCTCCATTCAGTTGTTGGCATCAAGGTGATTTTTGGCCAGTGGACAAGCCTGTCCTGTTTTAGGTCAGAAAATCATGCACACAAGACAAGGCTGAGCAGAGGCTGCAGAGGAAGGATGTGTGTTGGAGGGCTTGGCAAAGCCAACCATGCTTTGGTTAACTGTGGGGAGCCACGGGGAAGAAAAACCACCTGGGGAGAACAGGAGAGTATAAAGGCAGAGATGAAATAGTCTGCAGGCTTGAAAGGGAAATCCACAGGAGCGTGGAGAAGGAACGAGGGCAGAGGAAAGGAGTACCTGACTGGGAGCCAAATCRTGACATCTTTACAGTCATGTTGCACTCAGCCTGCTTGTCCTTCAGCTGCTCTCATTTTAAGTGCTTTGTAGAGTGGCAGGTGAGCAAAAACCTTATTGATTTTTGGGTCAAATTTTGTGATGCTAGGAGTGAGTTGCAAACAGAAGCTGGTATTTTACTACTGTTATAGCAACTTAGCAGCCCATGCTGTCAAGTATCTTTTACTTTCACTGGCCAAGTCCCATGTTGTTTCCTTCAGTCTAGGACTAGCTCTCTGGACACATCCTTTGTGACTATTAAGTGGTCATTTCTTGACCTGCAGTCTCAGTTTTGTCACTCAGGGWTAGTGTGAGAGCCATTAAGCTGGARGAATGACTCATACTGGCTTTTATGGCAAGAGTCAACTCATTTCAGCCTTTGCCACTTGCTTGTAAAATGTGAGTCACTTTTTGGAATAYAATCAAGCAAATCTTATTTGGTAATAAGATTTCTGTGGAAATCTTGTCTMGCAGGCTGAGCTTTATCGGAATCTAAGATGTAGCAGAAAGGGAGATTTGTTATCTTAGATTTCCACTTATGCAAAAAAATGCTGTGAAAAATACTTTTTTATAGGAAGTTTCACTCTTTCACTAAACTTGAGTTCTCTTGAAGTGCAAAATGCTGGCATATGAAAGCCATCATGTTTTATTGCTTGTCAGATYTCTCTGCTTTGTGAGTTCTGAATAGCTCTTGAATAATGTCCAATATAAGTTTTGTATGCATTTTTTCTACTTACATTGCTGAAATATTTTTGAGTTGTATTGACTGTCATCAGTAATCATTTTAGTGCTTCTAGGATGTTCAGGCTTCCCAGGCAGAATGTGATATTGATGAGAATAGAGCTCCTAAAAGGATGAATTTTCAAATGACAGAGCTGTAAGGCTATGATGATGAACAAACCATGGGGTGCATTGAAACAAAGTTAGTTAGGAGGAACAAATATTTCAGGGAACAAGCACAGCTGGAGGGATGAATAAATTTACATACCTTAAACGGGGTGATTCAGGCTTTGCATCCTTCCTAGWTGGTGTTATCAGTCTGTTGTATATTGATGGTACAACTGCAGGTACTTCTCTGGCACAGCTCACTCCAGCCCATGGGAACTCTTGGGAGATCCCAAGGGAGTTCCCTTCCTATGTGCACGAAGTTTAGCTAMAGCAAAAAGGATGCTGAGTCCAGCCAAGAGAAATTATGTGACTTTCATTGTGCTTTTTCTCCTGAGRAGTAAAAAATGTTCACAAAGGGAGTTGTCAGCAGGGAAACTGAGGGTCTGTCTCAGGAGACATCTCAGGAAATCATGTAGGTGATTTCTGCTGAAACTGAAGGTGAAGTTCTGCTGAAATTTTGGGTAATAGAGTTTTGTGTCTGTTACACAGAAAATCAGTGCTACAGCATGTGAAATACTCTATTATATTTTTAAAAAATGCTATCATATTTTAAGGATTACCTTCGAGTCAACTTACTGCACCAATTTATATGGGGGTAGATACACACACACACACACACACACACACACACACACATATATATATATATATATATATATATATATATATATATATATGTTCTTCTTTGTGAGCAGCACACAAAGCCATGCAGTTTTCACAGAACCACAGAATATTCTGAGTTGGAAGGAGCCCACAAGGACCATTAAGTCCAGTTCTAAAGTGAATGGCTAATACAGGGATTGAACCCACCATTTTGGTGTTATTAAAACCATGCTGGAGGCACGGGAGCTAATTTCCATTCTTTTTTATATCTATGTAAAATACAAAGTATGATGAGGCACCCAACAAATTATGGAGGTCAGTAAATTCCCAAAGATGAATTCTTTAAAAGAAAAGGGAGAGGGACTGGCAACACATGGTAATCAGATATTTAGTACTTCCATTCCTTGTGTTCGGCCCACATAACTGCATCTTTCAGAGTGGACAGTGACCCAGGATAGGGATGTGACAGTTGTTAGATGTGAGTCAGAAATGTCWTCCTGTGTTGTCGGCTCCTGCCTTTCAGCTTCATGTGTATCATGCTTCTGCCTACTGAAGGSTACAAAGCAATGTAATCTAGAAGGACCAGAAACTTAGAAACCTAATTTTGAGCTAGAATAATAACTCTGTCCATGAATCTTGATTTGGATGCGGGCCAGGTATTTATCTCTCCAGAATTGCATTCCCTAGTCTGGGAGTTGGGGATCATTATAGAATCCATCAGTTACTCTRTGAAGTGCTTTGCAAATGACAAATGCTTTTTATATATGTTAAATATTAATGTAATTTAAAGGAGCTTATTGCTCTCCAGTAGAGCGCAACCTGCAGCTTATCAATTATGTGTTCATCCCGTTAATGACCTGGCAGCCRGCGTGGCACGTACTCACAGATTGAGACACTTCTGAGGCAAATTTGGTTAATCCATTATGCCCTTGSTGTCCTTTGTTTCAGAAGCCCCCCTTCCTTATTCCATATTTAATGCCGAGCATCTTCACTGTCTGCTGCTATATCTTTCAGTCTCTTTCACATTCAGTGCTTTGCATTCGTGACGCCGGGGCTTTTTCATGTTGTGTGAGATGTGTGAGGGAAAATGTASTGGAGCTAACTTCAAAGCTGAGGTTAACACAGGGTCACCTAATGTAGTCTCCTTTCGGGGAAAGGATCTTAAGCAAATGCCAGGTAAAAGCCTTCCCATGAGGCCCTGCAGTGTTACTGCCTGTGTGCTCTCTCTGTCCTGACCCAGAAAGTCTTTCATGCAGTAAGACATTMCAAGCCAAAACCAGGTTAAGGAGGTAACCCAACCTGTTCATTCATCCTCCTCCAAAACCATAAACCACCGGGGTTGCCATCTGCACCCCCAGTGCTGCTCTGGTCCAGAAGCCTGCAGATGGTAGTGCCAGCCTTATTTCAGAGGGGGGTTTCCTTTCCCAGCTGGGATGACCACCTAATGGTGCTTCCCCTCCCCAGGGAAAGCTGTTGGCTTTTGGAGCAGACATTGTGGCTGGGTCTCTGCCAAGAAAAACAGCCTCAGGGCAGTTGTGTTTTTCTTCCATGTTATGAAGACCCTGGAGGTTTCCGAGGGGCACTGGTTAACAGGAATCAGTGCAGTTTGTTCCGAGGGATGCAGAGCAGTGCCTTCCACCGAGATGTCCACCCCTCTAGCAGTGCTTCTCCTTGGGCAGCTCATTGTGCTCTCCCAGACAGCATCAGGCTCAGAAATGCTGATTGTCAAAGCATACAAAGCCAAAACTGTGGCCAAAACTGCACTGTAAAAGGCAGCTGAAGATTTCTCTATTAAGGTAGTTAGACCTATGCTTTGCATCTGTTGGTTTGAAGAACCAAAGAGAGAGCAAGATCCAAGACTGCAAATTAATTTCAACCTTGAAAAAGACAATGAACACGCTAGTTCAGGTTTTTCCTRAGATTCAAGAAAACAAGCAAAAATAACTTATTTCTGAGTTTCTTCAGCTTTAAATAGAAGTTTTCAAATGTTATAGTGCAATTATGTTTTTTGTAGGATTATTTTCCCTTCTTGCCCATCTCTGCCCCATTTCAATTTTCTGTTATCTAGACCACTGCATTTTAATTAAAAGATGCAAGTGGAACAAGCTGTCATGCTGTCTGTTACMCACAGCCTAATTTAAATTGCCATCCTAAAACAAGCTGGAATTTGTTTCTGCCCTAAACATATACRTGCCGTTACTCACAGCGTGTGGTCAGAAAGCTATAACATAATCTGTCTCAATAAATGGTGAAATAATTAGATTTCATTTTGARAGGGTCAGCTGCCTGAGCCCATTGGTAGTTTATGCTCTTTCGTCATTCCTGTACCACTCAGACTTTCTTAACATGCAGACCACCAGTAAATGAAAACAAATGTTTCCGTGGCAGCCTGTCTGGGGCATCTCTGCCGCCCTACA